GCAGCCACAGAAACCTAATATAGGCCACGTGGTTTGGGTGACCCCATGTACCCAGAACTCAGAGATGAACATGTTCCAGGCATTGCGGATCATGCACTATCCCCTGGCCTCTGTGATTAGTTCACAGATTCACATGTGATGCAAGTTTATCCAATGAGAGCCAATTCCAATGATATTGTGGGAGCTGTTGGAGCAGAGAAGCCTTACCAAAGGCTACCCCGAGAACAAATAGCAGCAGAGAAGACAGCATCTTGGAATTACTGACAGTGTTCAGGTGACAATGACACGGTTTGAAGAGCTGAATCGAGCCATGCCTGAAGTCTTCCTCTGCGGGACTTCTTAGTTACCTGGGTCAATGAATTCTTTCTTTTGCTTAAAAATAAAAAAACAAACAAACAAACAACTATAATGAATGCAATTTTTTAGTTATTGTATCAACAAAAATCCAAACGTTTAATAATATTTTGGTGAGGCTGTGGAGAAACTAGTCCTCTCATAGGTTGCTGGTGGGAACATAAGCTGGTATATCTCTCATGGAGGAGAATTGGGAAATATCCTTCCAAATTATGAAAACAGAGACCCTCTACTCTGGTATTTCTACTTTTGAAAGTTTAACCTACAGATGTATTAGCATATGGGTGAAATGGCTCTGTGCACGGGTTATTTACTAAAGCAAAGGTTAGTAACCAAATATCCATTAATAAGACTAAATAAATTATAATACATCCATTCAGTAGAATATTATGCAGCTCTAAAAAAGAACAAGGAAACTTTGTATCTCTGTACTGATAAGGAAAGATATCCAAGATATGAAAAAAAATCAAGATGCATATAGTATGATATTTGTGTGCAAAAATAATTGTGTTTGCTTAAAGAATTTGAAAGGATACAAAAGAAACTAAGCAACTTGGTTGCCTATTTGTGAGGGAGATGGGAACTAGGCAGGTGGGGGATAAGATTGGTAGTGAAACCTTTCACTGTATTTCACTTCTTATGTTTTCTGGTTTTTGAAGCTTGTGAATGTATTACACTTATTCTAAAAATTAGATTAAAAAAACCAATTTGTACACTGTGATCCAAGTTTAGTAAGAAAATAAATGTGCATGAAATCAGAAAATAGAAAACATCTAGCCTATAAGTGGTTATTCTGGATACAGTGGGAAGTAAATATTGTACTGGTTCTGTGGAATCAGGGAAGGAATAGCATAATTTCAGGGTCTACCAACTCTCTGCATTGCCAGAACAGGTGCCCCATCAGGCATTTTAAACCAGTTGCTCACCCAAACTGTCACATATTTTAACTCGAGCTGTTTTTACATCCCAGCACATGGGTGAGTGATTGGATTTTAGGTCTTTTTGTAGGACTTTACATTTCAACTTGTTAGACTGGGTTCATCTTCGAAATATTTTGGGACCCCCATCCATTCACTCATTTCACAAATACTCTGAGGGTCCTTCTCCACCAGCCCCACTGGGGAGTGCTGGGGTTTCCTTTCCCACCTTAGGTCATCTGCAGAGGTGGGGGAAAGCCAAGTTAGAACAAGATGTGGTGAGAGCCCAGGAAGTTGAGGTGATCCTCTGGTGGGGACCAGGACACAGGCCCACAGACAGCAGGGAATAGGTGTGGCTAACAGGCTGTGGTTGGCCTAGTGTGACGGGTAATGAGAGCCTGACTCCAGATGAGGACAGAGCCCAGCTTGGCCACTGACTGGTGGACATGAGGCCGAAAAGGAGGGACAGGGCCAGAGAGAGTGAGGCTTCCAGAGCCTGGGAACACTCCAGCAGGGGAAAGGGCATCAGGAAGGTAAGGCCTTCCTCACTCAGGAGGCCTCTTCTCCAGGTGGAAACCTGGAGGCAGAGACAAGAATCGCTCCCCTTTACTGAGTGGTGCTTGGTGTTGGACACGGTCCTGAGTTGATTCTTAATTCCCACAACCACCCTGGGAGGAAGGTTGACTGTCACCTCTAGTTGCAGATGAGGACACCCTGAGGCTTCGAGTGATTCATGCAATCTGACCAGGGTACACAGCTGCTCAGGGGTGGGACAGGATCCAGCTGGTAGGTCTGACACCAGGCTGTAACTCTTGACCACCACAGTACTCTTGGTGTACTTGTGTTGCTGAAATGAATAAATGGCCCAGAAGGAGCACCAGCCTGAAGCTACGTTGAGCCTGAAGCTACTCTTGTGGAAAGGAAAGCCTTGGAGGCAGACAGACCTCGCTGGGCTTGCATCCTGGGTGGGCAGCTCAAGAACCCTGTGAGCAATGGACAAGTCATTTAACCCTCTGAGTCTCAGTTTCCTCATCTGTAGACATGAAGGGAATGTGTACCCTTGGCAGCCTGCAGTAATTAAATAGGACAGTGAATGTAAAATCATGACTAGCACAGGGCCTGACCCAAAGTCGATGCTTGACATCTGAGCTCAACAGAGAGGCTGCTGAACACCATGGAAAGGCCAGAGTTGGGGCTAGCTACAGAGACAGGGACAAAGTTCCTTTGGAAGCCTGGCAGCTCTGTTCCATCCCATGGATAGGGCTTTTAGCTTTGTTTCCCCAGAGTGATCATCAGGAATGCCCTTAAAATAAAAGGGGTCTTTGGATTTACTTGCAGAGAAAACAATTAGGGGAGGGCAAGCTTGGAAAAAGGGAGAGACTAGGAGACACAGAGAAATCAAAAATATGGGTAGTAGCTTTAAAAAGGCAAGAACCTGGGCTGAGTCCCAGGTGTGGGAGGATGACAGAAGGGGGCTGCCATCTGGGATGTGCCCCAGTCAAGGCCAAGGCCAAGGCTGAAGAGGAAGCTTTGAGGTCCTCCCAAGCCAGGCCCCTTCCCCCTAAACTGCCCACTGGTGACACAAAAGGCTCAGTTCAGTAACTCAAAGGGGCTGGATTGTCTTGGGCTTCTCACTAGTTTTAAAACTTTACTCCTTAAGGCCAAAGGATTCTTTTGTTCAGCTTGTTCCTTTCAAGAGGGAAAATCTCTTCTGGAGGGTGACAGGCCCTGATATCCTCTGCCCAGGAAGCAGAGCCTCCTCCCAGCCCTCACAAGCTGTCTTTGCAACCTTGTCCCAGCTCTCGGAGACTGGCTTGTGTGCTGAGTCAGTTTGGCCGCCTTCCAGCCAAGAAGACAGTGAAGGCTGCAATGCAGGGGCCATTAAAGGAACTATTTTTAGGCTCCATTTCAATCTTATTCAGCACAGGCTGTGAGATGCTAGGCTTGAAAGTGGCCAGACCAAGGAGATGCTGGCGGAGACAGAGTCCCAGGCAAGTAGGTCAGGGAAAAGACAAAGAAATCTCACTATGGGAGAGAAAGAAGCTCCCAGAGGTTCATGTTGCTGTCCAAGGAGACAGCAGGTTCATGTTGCTGTGCAGGAGACAGACGAGGGGAGCTTATCAGAGAATCAGCCCTCCTGCATTACCTGAGGAGTCACCAAGAAAAATGAGGAAAGTACAGCGACTTCCAAAAAGAGACTAGGGCAACATGCACCTGGGGAGCTCATTAAAAATATACCTCCCTGGCTCATCTTAGTTATCTGAGTCCAAATATTACAGTGGGGATGTGTGTTTCCAACCTACTCCCAGGGTAGGTGACTCTCACACACAATGAAGTTCAAGGACCTGAGGGCTGGAGAGTATCTAGGTCTAGAATTCAAAGGAATGATCCAGACTGAGGGGAAGGAAAGGCACAGGTGGTGGTGGTTATTTAACAACCCCCAGAGGTGCCATTCTCCTTTCCTCACTGGTCTCAGGCTTCCACCTATAAAGTGCAGGGTCCTGGCAGGACTAGGAGTCTCTTAGTTCATTGTCAGATGTTTATAACAGCCACCAATCAGGAGAATTTGGCCATCAGAGACAGCGGAAAGAGTGAGGGGAAGGGGGAAAAAGAGCTTTTGCTTTTTGTGCTATGCTTTTTGTGCTATGCTTTTGCTTTTTGTGCTTTGGCTTCCCCGGCCACCTGCTAACAGCAGGGACTTAGCATAACAAATACCAAGATAATGAGGACCTGCCAAAGCAAGGTGAATTGTTCTCACTCTGCTTTTCTTGGCCACCTAGGGAAAGCCTATCCACACATGCTCTTTCACATTGTGCCTTGGCTCCCACCTGCCCATGCAGACTGCAAAGCCACCCCTTCTTCCCTAAGGAGACACAAAGGCCACATGGTCAGGTGACACTTTAATAGGCTAGAAATAGAAAACCTGTCTTTGGAGACTATCAAGAGCCACATGCTTTACATGTACCTGTCCAGTTTTCCCAGCACCACTTATTGAAGAGGCTGTTCTTTCTCCACTGTACATTCTTGCCCCTTTATCAAAGATAAGGTGACCATATGTGTGTGGGTTTATCTCTGGGCTTTCTATCCTGTTCCATTGATCTTGGTTTTTGTGCCAGTACCATACTGTCTTGATTACTGTAGCTTTGTAGTATAGTCTGAAGTCAGGAAGCCTGATTCCTCCAGCTCCGTTTTTCGTTCTCAAGATTGCCTTGGCTATTTGGGGTCTTTTGTGTTTCCATACAAATTGTGAAATTTTTTGTTCTAGTTCTCTGAAAAATGCCAGTGGTAGTTTGATAGGGATTGCATTGAATCTGTAGATTGCTTTGGGTAGTAGAGTCATTTTCACAATGTTGGTTCTTCCAATCCAAGAACATGGTATATCTCTCCATCTATTTGTATCACCTTTAATTTCTTTCATTAGTGTCTTATAATTTTCTGCATACAGGTCTTTTGTCTCCTTAGGTAGGTTTATTCCTAGATATTTTATTCTTTTTGTTGCAGTGGTAAATGGGAGTGTTTTCTTGATTTCACTTTCAGATTTTTCATCATTAGTGTATAGGAATGCAGGAGATTTCTGTGCATTAATTTTGTATCCTACCAAACGTAAGATAGATAACTAGTGGGAAGCAGCCGCATAATAGCACAGGGAGATCCGCTCGGTGCTTTGTGACCGCCTGGAGGGGTGGGAGGGAGGCAGACGCCAAGAGGGAAGAGATATGGGAACATATGTATATTTATAACTGATTCACTTTATTATAAAGCAGAACCTAACACACCATTGTAAAGCAATTATACTCCAATAAAGATGTAAAAAAAAAAAAAAGAGCCACATGTGCGCCAGAGCAGAAAGCAGAGGCGCAGCAGTTGGGTCTGGGGGGAAACAACAGGCTGAGTGGGAGGTCAGCGATGGCTGAAGAATCCTTGAGGATGGTTATATTTAAATGGCTTCATCCTGCTGGGGCCCCTAGAGAAACAGGAGAAGGGAGAATAGTGTTAATACTATACCCTTTGGGCTGATAAAATAAATTACAATTCATCCACACTAATAGGGACTACTATTAGCTGTTAAGGAAAAAAAAAAAGGAATGTTGTAAGAAAAGCAGACTGCAGAACAATATGAAAGGTGTGATGCACTTCTGAAAAAATGTCTTTATGTGCCTGCAAAGGCATGAACACAAACCTGGAAGGGCCCTCACTGACGATGTGCACTTTGGGGGACAGGGCCTGGGCACCCTCACTTTTTAGTGTTTTTACCAAACTGCTCACTGTTGTTTGTTATATTTAACAACAAACATGTTTTATTTCTATGATTAAAGAAAAACCATAAAATCCTCCTTTGCAGGGAGATTCCCATGCAGGTAGGAGTCTGGGTGTGAAAAGAATCTGTACAAAGTTCCTGCCAAGAGCCACGTGCTTTATACTCATTACTTCTCAGACGCTATTTCTATCATTTTATAGATTTTAAAGATGAAGAAACAGGCTTAGGGACGTAAACTGTCTGCCCAACATTATATGGTCAGAAAGCAGCACAGCACAAATTCAAAACCAGGTCTGATGCCAAAGCCTGCTGGCCACAGGCAGGCTGACAATCACAGCCAAAGCCTGGACCCTGAGAAGCTTAGGTGCTTCAGCTCCAATCCTGAGCCCCCCAAGCAAAACTTCACACAGGGTTCTTTTCCATACAACTCCACAGTGAATGGCATCCAGCTAAAGGGTCTCTCGTTTATCTGCCTATGACTGACATTCAATGGTAACCAGGAGGTGACACCTTGGATCTTGGTCTGAGGGAGGGTGAGAGGCAGTGTGTGGTATGTGTGTGTGTAGGGGTGTGCAATCACTTACTTAAGGGAGGGCTTACTCTGCCTGCACTGTGCTTGGCACTTTGCATGCTCTGCCTGGTTTAATTTCATCCTCCCAACAACACCTGAAGTGGATGCCATTTTAGGGATGAGGAATCTGAATCTCAGAGGGGTTAAGTACAGACCCCAATCACATAGGCTGGAGCTGCAATTTGAACCTAGGCCTTTCTGGCCCCAAAGGCTTTGCTCTTTTTTTTTCGACCGTGCCGCACTGCATGTGGGATCTTAGTTCCCTGACCAGGGATCGAACCCGAGCCCCCTGCGTTGGAAGCATGGACTCTTAACCACTGGACCACCAGGGCAAGTCCCCCAAAGCCTCTGCTCCTAGCCATGACGTCATGTACCTCCCCAACATCAGAAGGGTGCAGTCATCCAGGTAAGTCTAGGCATACAGCTGATGGAGACCCCATAGCCTGAAGGTACCCAGCCACAGGCAGAGCCAGACCTTGCGTTTCCTGCGGCCCAGGCCAGCCCTTTGCAGCCCAGCCCCTTGGCCTGATCCCAGTGGTCAGCTGAATTCCAGGCCAAGAACCTCACATCCCACATCTCATCAGTCATGGAATTAACTGGATCTGAGTAGCCAAAGGAGCACCTTCCCAGAATGTCCTGCCAGAGGAGCTCAGCCTGGGAGACATACCAACCACTTCAGAAAATGGGTCCTTCGGGAACCATTAGATAACAGAATATAAACACTGGCTGTGTGAGAACTCCCACCCTGGAAATGTGCTACAGCAGGCTGGGTGCGGGGGTAAGAGCTGAGTTCTCACGCAGACACACCAAGGAAAGCAAGTCCTAGAAGGCACCAACATCTAGCCGCCAGCTCTGCCTGTCAGCAGCCACTCCGGGGCTGCAGCTGGTTATTATCAGCTAGCATGACAAACCAGGCCAGGTGGAGGTGCCAGACGGAGGTGGGAGGATGCTGGGACAGCTTCCAGGAGCTGAAGCTGGCTGTGTGAGAAGAAGGTAAGGGGCAGGTAAGGCACCTTTTAGACTGACAGAGAACAAAGGGATGTCCTGATTAGATACAGATGCTAGCCCTTCGCAGACATCATTCCTCCCCAACCCCTTGCCCAAAAGGGAAGAGATGCCTGAGCAGTGTGGACTCTATAGAGTTCTGAAACTGGCTCTAAGAACGCTAGTTAAGGAATGAAAGGGAAAGAAAGGACCCAACATCAAGGAGAAAGGAAAAGCAGCTAGCAGTGCCGTGCATGTAGACACGCTAAATACCAAGCTGTCAGGGCCTGCTGGCATTTTCTGAGCCTCCGCCTGTGCCAGGATCCATTCTGGAAGCTTTACATGAACTCTCTCTACTTCATCATGAGTTAGAAAGTAACACCTTTGGGAAAGGTTCAGAGCTGAGCTGAAGTGACTCTTCCAAAGTCACACAGCTGGTGAGCAGGAAAGCAGAGATCTGCACTTGTGTTTGTGTTACTTCAAAGCTAGTTCCTTCTGTGACGCCTGACTGCCTATAGCTGCGATCCCCCGAGATGTTTGAGTACCTTAGGAAGTATAGCAGACTCTGGGGACTGGTGGAATGCATAGAGTTTAAAAAGTTCATTTGGACCATGAAAAGCAAACCTACTGTTTTCCACAGAAAGTAGAGAAAGGAAAGTTCAGTCAAATCCTCTTGCTCACTTGGCGTGTGACCCACCTCTGGGGGGTGTGCATGATGAACAACTGGACCAGGCTGGTAGGATGGGGGCCACAGGGAAAGTTTTAGGAATAAGGGAGCAAGCTCTCCCCAGGAAATCTGGCAGCAGGATTTTAATTTCCACAGTGAATGGAGACTAGTGCACCGGGAAACGTGCGTGCCTTCCATGCCAGGCTCACCTCTGCCCCAGGTCCCTGTGAGAGGCAGGGCTGGAGGTCCCTGGACCCGGCACCCCCACCCCTCCCCTCACCTCACCTGAAAAGCCGCAGACACATTTTCTCCTGGGGAAATTCCTTGGGCCCCTCCACGCTGTCGTCGTGGCTCTCCGTCTCCAGGTAGACATCCAGCAGCACGCACAGGCGCTGCAGCTGGTTCGTCAAGAGCTGGTGGCCGGGCCAGGGGCCACACAGCTCCTTGTAGCACACATTGACTTCACTCTCCATGGCCTATGGGTGGGAAAACCAGAAACTAAGCACCACTTTCAGGCCAGCTGGGTCTGATGGTTTCACAAGAACTGCACCCAGGCCTCCGCAGGAGCTGGGCCTCTGCAGATCAAGCCGGACCGACTTGTCCCGAGGCTCCCTCTCCTCAAGACAATGGGGTCTTCCTGATCCTGACTCAGAACTTTCCCTGCCTTGCACATCCACAGACAGAGACGAAGATGTGTAGAAGATGAATCTCAAGATGAGATCCAAATCAGGTGTTAGGGTTAAAAACGTGCTCCATGACTACTGAATCAAATCCACAGGTATAACAATAATTAACAGGTGCAATGATCCCAGACATCATCTCATTCCAGCACTTTCTGTGCATCTGAGTTTATTCTCATTTCCACAGAAGCCCAAACAACAACCTTTCACAGCAGGTATTTATATTACCCCTATTTCATAAATAGGGTGAACCTGTGGACCCCAAGCTAGATAAGGGGTTGGGATGGGTCTGAGCTCTTTCTGCTACTATGTCATGCACCCTCCAGCAAACTCTACAAATCCCGGCAGACCCCTCTGCCCCGGGAATTGTGCCAGTGCCCAAGCCCTCAGCTGCGGCAGGTTCGGCCACTGCCCACCTCCCCAAGAAGGTTCTCCCTGCTCCTCCCACCACCCCCAGCAGGTCCTTACCCGAATATTGTCGTCGTTGTTGTTGGTTTTCTCCCCTTTCCAGTTCAGACAGAGCTGGAAAATGGGTGGGATGGAGGAGTAGCCGGGGTTCAGCACCACGGCAGCCTGGAGCTTAGCTGGGAAGGGATGGGAAAGGAGGAAAACTCAGTTCTGAGACCTGGCTTGTTAGCCGAGGCACGCTCCCCGCTGGACCCCTGAGGGGACACGAGCCACGACACCCCTCTGTGTCTCACATTAATCCAAGTGCTCAAAGCACATTCTGGTACTGACTTTTACTTTTGTTCTAGAATCTCCCAAGTGGAACTGCCAGGTTGCAGAAAGTGAGGTCCTGTGACTCTGGTCCCTCCAAGGACACAGAGCTGTGTGGACTCCCCAGAGTCTGGTCCACAATGAGTTTGCCCAAGAGTTCTATTTACTCCTTTGGCAGAAGTTTGTTTTCATTGGCATTTATTTGCCAGCAAGTTAAGGATTTTCCCATGTGAAGGTTTCCTGTTTTTCCTTTTCAACAATATTGGGTATTAACTGTTACATTAGTCAAATATATTTTTTCTATTCTGTTCTTTATCTATTTTGTTATGTGCAGCTTTTTCATAGCTAACATTTAATGACTACCTACTGTTTTCCAAGCATTGTGCTAAGCCCTTTGCACACATTTTATTTCATCCTAATAACGATTCTGAGGTAGGTACCATTATTATCATCCCATTTCACATATAAAAAAACTGAGGCTCTGACAGAAACTTCCTTAAGATCATCAAGCAGCTGCAAAGCAGCAATGCTGAGTTTAATCAGAACTACCTGATGCCAAAGCTGTGTTCATAATCATTAAATGAAATATTTGCATTTTTTAACTTTTTCATTTTTTCTCTGGTGATAGCCTTTGCCTTTTTCAATAGGATGACATTTATCCTCTCCATCAATGGGCTAGGCATTTAGCCACTCCTTTTCATTATTTATGGAGAAAAAAAGGAACTCTCTGACCCACCAGTAATTCAAATAAATAAGAGAACAAGAGAGTGTAAGTTAAAACAATTCTTCCCTGACAGTCACAACAACATTTATTAAAAAGTGACACTTTCCTGTTGTTTCTGTGGTAACAGTTTGCACATATTTCGGGGTTTATCTCTATTCACTAATTTTTGGTTTTTAACCCATACCGTGTAACTGTTGTCCACTTATTCATTTAAATTTCACTCTTAATTTTTCAAATTCTATAATGCATCTAATGAAAATTTAAATGATCACATTCATTCCATGTACGAATCTAGAATACTTATCATCTTTCCAAGCTTTCTTCCGCTCAACCAGGAAGCAGAAATGATGTCCTCCAATGACCTCCCACCCTTGGGGCTTTGTAAATTTACTGGATGCATATTTTGTGCCCTTTCAAAATAGCACTCTGTTGTTTAGGGATGAGGTTAAAGTATTTTTTAAAAGGGGAGAGGATGGAAAGCAAATGCAAAATTCCAAATAGCAGTCACCTATCGTCAGGGTGAGAATGAAGTGGGATCAAGGAGCCTCAACTGTATCTGAAATTATTTAATTTCCTCAGAATATTTCTAAAAACATGCAAAGAAAAAAAAAGGAGAAGGGAAGAAATAGAGACAATTGAACATCAAAGAGTGCAAGCTTTCCTGACATGTCTCGTACTGTCTTGGAACTACAGACAACTTCCTCCGCCCGGTGGCCTCAGCACTGAGCCCCTGGGGTGGGATCCTGCAGGCTGTGCCAGACCTGCCAAGGCTGGGGCCGGATGACAGCACCACAGGCAGCATCAGGGTGGCTCCAGCAGGAAACCCTGGCCGATCAGATGCCAGGACAGCTGTGAGGTATCACAGCTCTCGATGCCTCCCAAGTGAGTGTAGGGACTGCAGAGGGAGGAGGGTCCTGCACTTCACATCCTGAGAGTGACAGCCCTTCCCTGAAGAGGGGGACGAGCAAGCATCTGATTCTAAAATGTAATGAAACAAAGGGGCTAAGAGCTCAGGCTCAGAGGTCAGACTGGGTTTGTAACTAAGCCCTACTTTCCTCATCTACAAAGCAGGAATATCACCAGCCCCAGGACTGTCCTAAGGATTAGCTGATAAACCACGGACATGACTGTTGCAGAACAAGTCCTGGCTGAATGCTGCCTCTCACAACTATGACTGTTTGCTAAGTCCCCACTACAGGATTCCAGGATCTTTCGCTTCCTTTGGGCAACTCCCAGGAGTGTTTTATTCTCAGCGGCTCCCCTTGCCTAGAGCAACTGTGATCAGCAGAGCAATTACCTGTGCCCCTTTCCACGAGTGCCATATAGTAGAGATTGGTGTCCCCAGCCAGTCCCGCCTCCATGATGTCTTTGGTAAAATGCAGTTCCTAGAAGTCACCGAGGACAAGGGGTGAACTGCTGGCTCCTCTAGTCAAATCACCTGCTCTTCTGGTGGAGGAGCAGGAGCTGAAAGGTGACGTGGGCCTGCAGTCCCCAGGACAGCAACAGTGGCCTGTCACCCCTCCACCTACCGTATAATCCTCATGGGGAATCGTCACCCACTTCACCAGGCGAGAGACAACCTTTGCAGGGAAGAGGTACTGGCAGTCACTGGTAACTGGCACAATGCCGTGTTCTAAAAGAGAGCAGGACAGGTGGTGTCACAGGTAGAAATCAGCTGGGTAACTAGCTGTGTAACTAGCATCTTCTGTAGGGCTCAGATGGCCCTGCCAACTGTCCAGGTACACTCGGTACTCAGGTGCCCAGGTCAACATGTGCCAGAAACGAAGGCACACCAACCTGACCTTTACCCAGTGCTTGTGCTTGAGGCCGGACCCAGCACCAGCATTCACAGCACTTTATCCTTAATGCAAATGATGGCCTGCCAAACAAAAAAACCCCCTGCAGCCAGAAACAGAGATGTACGGTGTCTCTGCAGCAGTGACTGTTAATTAGACCAAATAGCCAAGAGGGCTGTTCTCAGAGCTGACCTTGATGGAGAAAGGACTGAAGTGTTCTGTGTTGGTTCCTCTAAGGGAAAAGAGCAGGAGGACTGCTCCAGGGTGAATTCCTGCTGGCGTTTCAATAAGCAAACGTGCCAACATGGTAAACGCTGTCCAGGATGACAATCACCCAACCCTGGGACAAAACAAACTAAGCAATGCTGATGGGGAGCAAGTAATGCTGCCCTGGAGAAAATAGGGTCCACGTGAGGCCTCCAGACGGGTCCTGGGAACTCAAAGCCTTTCCTGACAGTGGCTCTTTTAGATCAGAAAGATCTTAACCCTCACTCCTTACAAGTCCCTTGTACATGATAGGCTCTTACAAGTATTTACAGAATGAACAAATGAAAAGCCCCACATGGCCATCATCTTGGTCAAGGGCTCATCAGAATAACCTGGGACCTTATGGAAAACACAGGGGCTCAGCCCCACCCTGGAGGATGTCAGCTCAGGTGTCAGGGGAGGGATGAGGCGTGGATCCCTGGACAGCTGTATTCAAGTAAGCTGAGCGTAAGCTCCACAAAAGCAGGGCTCTGTCTTGTGCTCATGGCTCTTCTCCCAGCACTATTCTGGCTGCCTGGAATGAATTAGGTTCCTATTAAAACGCACATCAGGACTTCCCTGGTGGCACGGTGTTTAAGAATCCGCCTGCTGGGGCTTCCCTGGTGGTGCAGTGGTTGAGAATCCGCCTACCAGTGCAGGGGACATGGGTTCGAGCCCTGGTCTGGGAAGATCTCACATGCCGCGGAGCAACTAAGCCTGTGCACCACAACTACTGAGCCTGTGATCTAGAGCCCGCGAGCCACAACTACTGAGCTCGTGTGCCACAACTACTGAAGCCCGCATGCCTAGAGCCTGTGCTCCACAAGAGAAGGCACCGCAATGAGAAGCCTGCACACCGCAACAAAAGAGTAGCCCCTGCTCGCTGCAACGAGAGAAAGCCCGCGCGTGGCAACAAAGACCCAATGCAGCAAAAAATAACAAATAAATAAATAAAATAAATTTATATATATAAAAAAAAGAATCTGCCTGCCAATGCAGAGGACACGGGTTCGATCCCTAGTCTAGGAAGATCCCACATGCTGCAGAGGAACGAAGCCCGTGTGCCACAACTATTGAGCCTGTGCTCTAGAGTCCGCGAGCCACAACTACTGAAGCCTGTGAGCCACAACTACTGAAGCCTGCGTGCCTAGAGCCCGTGCTCTGCAACAAGAGAAGCCACTGCAATGAGAAGTCCGTGCACCCCAACGAAGAGTAGCTTCCGCTTGCCACAACTAGAGAAAGCCTGCACATAGCAACGAAGACCCAACACAGACCAAAATAAATAAATAATTAAAAATGTATTTTTTTAAAATAAATAAAACGCACATCAAAGTCTGACGTGCACTGACCTAGCATGATGCTCCTGACCAATCTGCTAACCTGGGCCCCCAAAAGGCTTTGGGCTGAGACAGCCCTGGTGGCCCTGAGGAGAGCTCAGACCTCTGCTTGGCAGCCTACAGCTCTCCCCAGTGGCCCAGCTAACACCTCTGCTCAACAAGAGCCAGAAAGCCAGCCCGTTTTGATTTGTCATCAGGATTCAAGACATCTGAGTGCAGGGCTCCGTTGTCTTTGTCCCTGTGTTGTCTGAGTGGCTCTCAGGTCACAGCCCTAACTAGCACCAGCTTACCCAGGGAGGCAAACTGCTTGTGGAGGGCCAAGCGGGACTGCACCCTGGTCTTCAGCAGTTTCATGGTGGTCTCCATGTGGCTGGCGCTCAGAGAGTGGTCAGTGATCACAGTGTGCTGTGGAGGACAGCGAGTGGCACACATGTTAGTAGCTCCCCATCCCTTCCTCCAGGCACCCCTCTCTCCTAGGACCTGCCTGCCTGTGGCAACCTGGACTACCCACGTCCTGAGATGCCTTCTGGGGACAGCAGGGTTTCCCTACTGTGACAGGCCAGAGGCTGAGTCCCAACAGGAACGATACAAGGTGCTGAGATCTTAAGAGGTCCCCTAGGGTTCATTTCTGGCACCTTCGTACATAAGACCAAGGGGTAGCAGCGCCTGGAGCTGCACTGCACGCAGGGCAAGGATCCAAGTTACTTTGACCTAGAGGGCTAACAGGCTCATGGCAAAGGCAAAAGGTACCTAAACACTTGTAGGCCTTGGACATTTTAGTATCCTGAGTGGAGGGAAGATAGATCATAGCCCAGAGGGATAGCATTCTGCTAGTTCAAAGTCCCAAAGCCCTTCTGGAGTCTGTATGGGACAAGAGGAATAGAGGTCCTCAGCCGAGGGGACCGGATCAGTAGACACACCTGGGGCTGCTCTTTGGGGAAGTGGAGGCCACCCATCTTCTGCACCCACAAATAGGGATGCCCTAAGTCAAGTACGTAGTCCCTCAAAGTCAGGATGCTGCAGATAAGAACACAGAATGAAATGATTCTATAAGTCATTTCTGCAGTGGTCCCCGGATATATCCCTCCTCCCACCTTCTCATCCCCCCAAAACAGAACGGTCCCACAGGCTCAGCTGCACCCACGGCCAGGCTGCCAGCAAAGCCTCTTAACTTCATCAGTTCCCTACTGTGAATTTCATCTCTCCTAGTCACTTTTCTCTTTTTCCCTTGGCAGCCTTCAACTCATTAGCAAATATCAATAAAAAGGCAGTACACTTGATCTCTTCATCAGTCCACCAATTTATAAAATATTTTTTAAACTTTAATCCTCAGAGAATTAAAATGTTAAATACATCTATTATCACGTTCCCAGAGTTTTGATCCTTCCACCCTTCCCCACCCTCCATGGCCTCATAAGCAGGAAAAGGCATGTGTTCCCTTCTCTGGACAGAGCACTCCCTCTTGCCCAGCCGCCTCCCCTGTCCCCTGGGAGGCCTCTGGCCCTAACAGGTCTCCAGCTTTGGGTTTGAGCCACAGGAGAAACTCAGAAGCAGAGAGGCTGGGAGAGGAGGAAATGCTGCTGACTCACCCAACTTTATCAAACTGATACTGATTGGCTGGATTTGGAGTTTTCTTTCCATGATCCCCAGGATACAAACAGCTCAGTACTGAGTCAGGAGACAGCAAGTCACTGGAAGAGGAAAAAGACTGCAGTGAGAACGCCGGCCAACCCATTGCTTCCACGCAGACGTGGGCATTTGGCGGTGGTAACGCCCCCTCTCACTGATGATCAAAGCCAGACCCTTTACATGCCTGAGGTCATCAGATAGTCATAACCCTATGAGGTAGGGAGTATCATCATTTCCATTCTACAGAGGAGAAGATCAAGGCTTTAAAAGATATGGCTTGTCCAAGATCACACTGCTATTAAGTGCTGGAGCCAGGATTTACTCTATTCCATCAAAGACAGTAATACTCTTAACCACCAATTTTTTAAGAAACCTATCCCTTCAAGAGTTACATGGTGACCAGAGCCTTTTCCTCAGGGGAGCAAAGCCCTGTGACACAATAGGAATAATCAGAATTTTCATAGGAGCAAAACAGATCCCTTCTACCCCAGAGAGATCCAGTGTGAAGCTTTGATATTGTGCTTATCTCACTTTTTACCAAATCTCATGCTATCACAGAAATAGGTCCCCTTTAAAATTCCCAGAAAAAGATATATCACATAGACTGGAGACAAGGTGACCTAGTGCTGTAAGCAGAGAGACACGGTGATGCCACAGCCACCTACTCACAATGGTTAAACATGTAATTAAACGTGACAATCAGAGAAGAGATGGGGAGAGAATGGAGTAATTTGATCACAAAGGTCAACGAGGCCCATTCTTTCCCTTCACCAAAGGGAGTTCCCCTTCGCCTTCCAGGGACAGCGTCAGGAGTGACTCAGGCGGAAACTGCTGCTCTGAGCCAGCAGGCCTCCAGGAACTTAGCACCGGGAGGGTGGCAGCTTCTGGCTCTGCCCTGCTCTCTCTCCTGACAGTGTCTCCCTGCACCACCACGACCCCCAAGGGTCTCTGTCCCCTTCACTGCTTCACACAGAGAACCAGCTAGAAAATGAATAATTGTCAGTCTTTTAGCCAATGTTTAGTGACTGTTACTAATATACAGAATCAGCCAAAATGAAACAGAACAGCTAAAAATGCACAAGATTAGGATTTTAAATTGATGAAACCTGATGGAAGAATCAAATCTTCTCGACAAAATTTCCATCTGCAATATGTGGCTCAGGACAACTGAATTTGGTAAAAATAATGGCCATTAAAGAGAAGGCTATATACTCATAAAAATATGACTATTCAAAACACTATTCAATTACTCAAGTCTTTGTTACAAAGTTTTAAAAAAAGAGATTTTTAAAATCTTCGTAAAGTGGAAATGGAAAATAATTTAAAATAATTCAATGCCTTAATGAAAAACTGATTAATGAATTAAAGTGGCCTAATGGAGATCATTCTGGAAAACAATTTCTTGAGGAAAATTCAGCAAGGTTCATATAATTCTGAATAAAATGTTTATAATAAAAACATGAATTTCCTAATGAATTAAGAGATCCTGGCATCAGTCGTCAATGTTGCTAACATCTCAAAAATAGAGACAGCCGGTGCCTCCTGATAAAATCATGCAACATCTCTGACACAGTGCTGCACACCCACCTCCCCCGCTAAAAATGGAATCTGATCAGGTCTCTAACTCTACCTACAATTTACAGGAAATACAGGGGGAGGGAGTAACACGTTCAATTGTACCGCAGGGATGCAATCATCAAAATGCAGCCTGGGGGAAACCTACAGAGCAAACAACCTACTTTCCTCAACAAATAAAAGATGGCAGGACATTCAGATGGGAAGACACCTGAAAGAAGCTTCATCCAACTGCAACACATGGATCTTAAAAAGATCCAGATTCAAAACCCAAACTGTAAGAACAAAACTAACAAAGAACACTTATAGGGAAATCTGAACTCTGACTAGATAATTGATATTAAGGAATTAGTGTCATACTGTGATTAAATTGAAATTTTTAAAAAGTATCCCTGTTTTAGTTGATAAATAAATAAAACCACACACCATGGTGTCTCCATGGGGCAAAAGCAGCCTTGAGCAAAGGCCTCTAGGCTGCGAGTCTGAAGTCTAGGCCCAGCACTTCCATAATTGGACATATGCCCCTGAACTCAGTTTCTCCATCTGTAAAATAGGGGGATGAGCTAGACAACACCTGAAGGCCCTTAAAGAGCTAATCCTGGCTTCAGGGTGGTGTTTCCTTTTGGGTTTCCTCCCCTTTGGGGACCAGGGCAATGACAGTAGTGTAGTACCATGGTACACAGGCCCAGCTGGCTTTGAATCATCACTCTCCATGCACTACCTGTGACCCTGGGGCAGCCTCTTAACTCTGCAGAGCCTCAGTTTCTTCACCTTGTAGAGCTACTGTGAGAATTAAATCTGATGATGACAAACAGCTGTCATTTACCAAGCATTTCACCTATGCTAAGCATTTTACCTGACTCACACAGGCACCCTGGGAGGGGATCTAATTAATGACCGGAGTGAGGAAACAGACTCAGAGGTCAGGTAATCTGGCTAAAGGTGCACACACAGCTGTGAGGGGAGACCCGGCACTCGCAGAGCTCGTAGCCAGTGTGCAGTCCTGCCCCTATCACGGTATGTGCAGTGCCCCGCAGGGGAGTGGGCTTCAGTGCACACTGGGGCCAGCCTGCAGCCCCGTGACTTAGCAGACAGGACATCTGAGAAGTCAGCAGGCAGAACGATCACGACAAAGAGCTCCACTGTGGCCAGGGCCATCATGGGGCCCTCGAGCTGCTCACTGGACCAGCACTGCAACTGGGTTCTCTGAAGAAGCCAGCCCTAGGCTCCCTCTGCTGGGGTGAGGTGGGAACAAGGTCAACTCCATCCAGAGTGCTCGGGGTGGTCCAGCAACACTCTCAAGCACAGGGACCAAGGATGCAGCCTGAAGGGGGTGTGGACTCTAAGTGCAGGGTTGAAAACCCAGGGGAAACGCCACCATCAGGCAGGCCTGGGAAGAGTTCCATCCCACCAGACCCACGTCTCCCTCACTGATCTTTCTACACCTGACGTGAGGACTCACTGGAAGCAGGTGGGGCAGGGTCGGGAGGTGTGCCAGGCCAGGTGAGCCTATTTCACCCCCAGGCCCTCTCGGTCCTCCTCCCTTCTTCCCACGCTGGCTGTGGAACAAGCAGCCACGGTCAGGGCCTTTCTGGGGATGCTCCACCTGTGGCTGCCACTACGTGCCTCTGCTCACCCTCCTCAAAACCCCTACAGGGACCCGCCAGTCTTCCTCCCACTGCCCAGGTAAGGACAACCTGGGATTGAGCTGAGCTGCAAAGTGAAATCCCAGCACCTTGGGACAGAAAGAGACAAGAAAAAGAGAGGCCTAAATTTGTCAACCTGGTAAGGTCTGCCAAATCTCACTTTCACATTCACACTCTTTCCACTGGTGTAAAAGGTGGTGCCCTGCCCACTCAATTTACAACAGGCTGTAGTCACTTCTAGCATCTGCTGTGTAGTGAGAGGACTTCACCAATTCAAGTCAGTGAGTGCTTTCCAAATACCTGTGATGTACCAGGACTTCGGGGCTGTGTGGACGTGACAACAGAAGCCAGTGTGGCCATGAACTCCACTCAGAGCCAGATGAGGGAGGATCCGAGAGGAGCCCAGCACCAAGGCTGCCACCACACCCCCCTCCCACGCCCCACCTCCCGCAGCACCTGTCCAATACCCTGCACTGATGGGGGTGATCAGTTCTGTGGCAGTTGTCACTTTGGCTTTTACCGTCATGATGTTGAGGTTCATGAGGTAGTAGAAAGTCAGGTGCAGTACACTGTCATCTGGAGGGGAGGAGGAAAAGAAGACATCATTTATGAGTTAAACACTAGAAGAGCGTCAACAGTATTATAGAAAGCAAAGTCAACAAGACTTTTAAGATCTTTCACTATAAAAACAACTTGATGGCAACTTAACATTGAGTAAAAAAAGTCTCTACAAATTCTTTGCTACTACTCTCTCCAAGAGGTGGAGCTTCATTTCCCTCCCTTGAGTGTGGACTGGACTTAGAGACTCTGCTTCTAACTAACACAACATGGAAAGGAAGCGATCAAGGGATCACCAAGTGATATGGGTTAACATCACTATTAACGAGACGAATTGATACCTCCGACCCCTGATAAGACGTGACGGTGAACACTGCCATCTGTGGTATTCCTTCTCCAAAACCCACAACCTCAGTCTAATCAGGAGAAAACAACAGACAAGCCCAAATTGAGAGCCTTTCTACATAATACATAAACCTCATCTCCCAAAGTGTCAAGGTCATGAAAGACAAGCAAAGACTGGAGGAGACTAATAGGCATGACGACTAAATGCAATCTGAGATCCTGGATTGGATCCTGGAAGAGAAAAAGGACACTGGTGGAAAAACCAGGGGAATGTGAATAACTTTGGTAGTTAATAGTACTGTACCAATGAAATTGACACTGATTTTGATTACTGTGGTTAAGAAAGATGTTGATATTGGGGTGAAGAGCAGGTGTGAAATCTTTGTATCATCACTGAAACTCTTCTGAGTCTAAAATTATCTCAAAAATTTTTTTATAAAAAGGCAAAGAGAAGACAAGTGTGTAGAGTGTTTCCATTTATGTAAAAAATAAAAGGCGGGGCTTCCCTGGTGGCGCAGTGGTTGAGAGTCCGCCTGCCGATGCAGGGGACACCAGTTCGTGCCCCGGTCCGGGAAGATCCCACATGCCGTGGAGCGGCTGGGCCCGTGAGCCATGGCCGCTGAGCCTGCGCGTCCGGAGCCTGTGCTCTGCAACGGGAGATGCCACAACAGTGAGAGGCCCGCGTACCACCAAAAAAAATAAATAAATAAAAGGCGAAGGGGTTAAGTATAAACTTGTGTAAAAGCTTCTAAATGCATAGTTTATTTCTTGAAAATACATAGGAAACTGTCACAATGGTTGCCCTTGAAGGTAATGACCAGGACCAGGGTCTGGAAGTCTGGGGTGAGAAGGAAACTTACATCTGACTGCTAACTCTTATCCTGCTGGGATGCTTTACCATGTGCTCCTTTACCCATATGAAGCCAGTTTCAAAACCCACTGTCTCTGCAAAATACGAAGTTCTACTTATATTTATTAAATTAAGCAGGTTGGTCATATTACTCAAAGCCTGCATACTCTTGGCAACTTGTTCTGTGTATCTAACCTGTCAAGTTCAGAAAGAGGTGTAGTTCCATCAAGCATCCCTAATGTGTCTGATGGTTTTGCTATGTTTTCAAAGTTATGGCTTAGGAGGGGGGAAAAAATCAAACTCCATGAAGAACAACAAAGGAAAACAGAAATATGAAACCAGAATCTTTTCCTGGGTAAGGAGGCATCAGCTTGCTGGACCCCGCAGAGCGGCAGCTGGCTGCACTCCTAGGCGCTACGAGATCCCCCAGACCAAGGGGAGCCAGACCTTTGCACCTCAGGTCCAGCATGACGGACAGCGGGTGCCTCTTCAGCATCTCCTTGCGCTTGTCGTCCAGCTGAACTCCCAGTGTGGGTCGCCGGCGTTTCTGGACAAAGGAAAGGGTCGAGCCGGTAAGCACTGCTCACGGGAATCTCCCCCGTCCCCTTCTCCCTGCTGGCCAGGGCCTCACCACTGGGACCCGTGCTTCAGCTCTCCAGCTGCCAGGATCCCAGCTCCCTTTCTTTCAAACCTCTTTCTTCTGCTTCTAGGGAGGATGGCACCCGCCAACTAGTGGGCCCCTAGGGCAGCCGCTCGGCACTCCCCACACTCTCACCGTGGTCTGCTCCTCCTCAGCATCCGAGTCACTCTCGTCATCTGCAGCGACAGAGAGAAGGCAGCTCGAGGTGAGGGCTCCCAATTCTCCTGAGAGCACCTCAACCCAGGGCGCATAATAGGGCCCAGGCTTTTGTAAATGGGTTCCTTTAGAATAAATATTTGCTGCTTCTTATTCAGTATAGAAAACAGAGTGATGCAAGGAAAAGAAAAATGACTTATAATCCCATCACCCTGTTTTTTTTTCAGTGATTTTTAATGTCATCCTATGGACCACAAGCTCCTCCATTGGTGGTGGTGGTGGCAGTAATAACAGTAGTATAAACAACAATAACAGAAGCTCATATAATTTGAGGGGTTACTGTGTGCTGAGGATGATGCTAAGGGTTCTGCATGCATGACCTCATTTAATCCACATAATAATTCTACATGAGGTATTACTATCTTGTTTTGACAGGAGAGTAAACTGAGGCTCCGAAACGTTAAAGAACTTCCCTAGGATCAGTGAGCTGGTGAGAGGCAGGCTGAAATCCAAAGGCAGTGCTTTTCCCTGTCTACCCCGAGCACTAAGACATTAAAGCTAAGCTCCCTGCCACACAGAACCAGTACGGCTAATTACCAAAGGACCAGCACTGGCCCTGGGTGGTGACCTGGCATTCCTGGAACCAGCTACAGTAGACGTGGGGGAGGATCCTGACCACCACTTACCTTGGGAGTCCTCGGGAGGCTTGAACAGAGCCTTGGCCTCATCCACGCTGCCTTCAATCGCCACAGACAACGTCTTATCTAGGAGCAAGAAACAGCTTTCTGTGAAAGTTGCTGAGAGATGGAGCTAAGCTACACGACCAGGCCCGCCCTGGGGCTGCACTTCCTCTGCTTCTGTCACAGCTTCTTACTGACCGGGGCTGGAGGGCAAAAGTCCTTTCTCCAGATGAAGAGGAGCAAGGTGGGAAACCTAAGTTTCCCATCATTTTTTCCCATCATTTACTGAAAACAAGGAACCCAAAATGCAGATTCATGGCCAAGCATCACCTGAGACTAGGGGTGAATGCCTCTCTTTTCAGGCTTACACCAAGGCACAGAAATCCAAATCGATGGCCTAAAGCCACACGGCACAATTCTACCAACTGTCTTAAAGGTTCTCATCCAGAACCTGTAACTGTCCACATTCTGGAAACGACAGCTCTCCCCTCAGTTCTTATTCTCTGTTCTGCACTACACCTAGCACCTGGCACCTGCCTGATACCACAACATTTAACTGGGAGGCAGCAGGACAGTGGGTAGGAACCTGGAACCTGCAGTCCAGTCCCGGCCTGAGTCTCTGCTCAACCAACTCCCAAACTTACAACCTGGAAAGTTATGTCACTGCTCTGAGCCTCAGTTTCTGCACCTATGAAACAGGGACTTGACAAATGGTGGCTGCCCAGTTGGGTTAGGAGGACTGAATTTTAATTATAAAATTACTTTTAAAAATTAATTTTCAATCCTCACAGCAATCCTATAGGAGCAATACTATTATTCTAGCCATTTACAGATGAGAAAATTAAGGCTCAAGGAAGTTAGATACAACAGCCAAGAGGTAAATAAGTTAGGATTCAAGACCAAGTCTATTCAACTTGAGCTTGGTATCTCAAACACAAAGCTAAGTGGCCTGCTCCCTGCACCAGGCCTGACACCTCAATGAGCAATGCCTGGGCCTGCCTCTGTGCAACTCCGTGGGTCTAGCGCTGAGAGATCAGATAGGCCATCACCCTTCCTTCTCCATTCAAAAGGGTATACAGAGACGCAGATAGTCACAGGAGCCTGAAAGGGTTTGTTCAAGTGCACAAAGAGGGATGACAAACTTCCCCCAAGTGGCGGGCCCTTGGGATATTCCTCAGTGGCTGACCACTGCTTATCTCTGACAACCCTCATGAACCATCACACCTCATCCCAAACAAGCTGGCTGCCCCCATTAACACTGGCAAATGCTAGACTGTTCTTTTGACTAGTTTATTCCTGGAATTCTACAGTAAAATGGGAATGGAAACAGGCTGGGTTTTAAACACAAAAGAAAAGAAAATTACTCACCCTGTCTAGGGGGCTGGGAGGATTTCATATGAGCTGATGATGAAAACAGGAGGGAGAAGAAAGGGGAGGGAGAGGATCAAAAGGACCAGGAAGACACAAGAAGAGAGACAGTAATGTGTTGATGCCCATGGCTGGGAGGAGAGGCATGCACTGGCGCAATGTGTGTCTGTCTGATGCAGTGGGGTGGGCGTAGGGAAGAAAACTTTAGGTGCTGGGTGAAAGCTTGCAGTAGGGCAAAAGGCAGGATCTCTAAAAGCTTCTCAAAATCCTAGTGGAGTCATGGGCTGCCTTCAAGCTTAATGAGGACACCTCCTCTCCTTCCGTAATTCACTGTTATGACATGCAGCCTGTTCCAGGGCTTGGTGAAAGCCTGAGACAGCTGGCTGGGACCTGTGTTCACCAAACCCTCTCTGTGAAGAGAGCAGGAGGCACTGATCCACCTGCCAAGTGTGCCTTGATGGGGTGAGTGCTTGGGAGGCCAGACAGGCTGCCTGGGCACTGAACACAACAGCCAACCAGTCAGGCTCATCAAAGATTCAAAGCCATCCATTCTGAAATGCCCATCAGGTTAGTCCAGCCTCAGGCCAGCTGGTCAAAACAGCCATGCCGGGCAGTGCAGAGGGGAGGCAGCATCTATCACCTGAGGGCTTCTGAGTAGGGCCAGGGAGCTTTCCTCAGCAGGAGGTGCTTCCAAATGACTCAATTGGCCACAGCTGCTGCTCCCACAGCCCCTCCCTGCCCAGCCCCCATACTCACCACAGGCTTGCCCATACGCAGTGGCCTGGACAAAGAGGACATAGAGGGGAGGTGGTAGGTGTCGGGCTGTCTCATACTGCTTGTGAGCTTGGTCGAAGGGCATAAACAGATACTCCTGCACCGGTAGGGAAGCCTGCGAGCAAGGAAGGAGGGATTTTGTTTTTCTTTTACAGGCACACACAGGAACATGTGGCTTCTTAGTTACTTAGTATACAGTTTTTTATTTATGAAAGTGATAGCAGCAATAAACAGTAAGAAAATGAACTTTAAAAAAAGATACCATTTCGTCTAGCATCAAGAAAACAACAAATATCTAAATGTCAAAAGTGTGTCAACCTCTACACAAACACCTGAGAAATGAAAGATCTAAATGAATGCAGATATATGCCATGTTAATGGCCTCCAAGGCTTAATACCACCCAGATGTCAATTCTCCCCAAAGTATCTATGGATTCAATGCAATCCAATCTAAATCCCAGCAGATGAAAATAGACTAGCTGATTCTAAAACTTATATGTAAATAAAAGAGGCCAAGAATAACAGAGATAATCCTGAAAAATTAAATTGGAGGACTTACATTATTGAGCATCAAGACTTCTGATACAGCTAGAGTAATAAGTCAGTGTGATATTGGTGCAGAGACAACTAGATCACGCACACACAAACCCAAACATATACAGATATCTGATTTATGACAAAAAAGGCACTGCAGAACAGTGGGGGAAAGAATGGTCTTTTCAATAAATGAATCAGCTGAATACCTATGTGGGGAAAGAATCTGACCTTCACCTCACACTATATACAAAATTCACTTCCAGGAAGACTATAGATTTCAATGTGGAAGGTTAAACAATAGGGCTCTATAAGAAAATACGAGAATATTTCCATGACCTTGGGACAGAGAAAGGAAAAGACTGATAACTGGATCATGTTAAAATTAAGAACATCTGCTCATTAAAGGATACTATTATGAAAGTGAAAAGGAAAGATATCTGCAGAAGACTCATCTCCAGAAAATATAAAGAATTCCGGGCAACCCAACAGAAAAATGAGCAAAAGACTTTAACAGGCCCTTCACAAATGAGGTACTCCAAAAGCCAGTTAGTATATAAAATGTGCTGTGCTCAACGTCACTGGTCCCCAGGGAAATGGAAATTTAAACCATAAAAGATACCCTCCAGAATGGCTATAATCAAGAAAAATGACAACATCAAGAGTTGACAAGGATGTGGAAAATTAGAACTTTCACATGGTGATGGTGGGAATTTCAAAAATCAGTACAATCACTTTAGAAAATTGTTTCACTGAATACCAAAACTAAATATACGCATAGCATACTATGATCCAACAATTTCATTCCTGGGTATATATTCAAAAGAAATGTGTACACATGTACACCAAAGGACACGTGTAAGAAGGCTCCTAGTGGCATTATTCGCAACAGCCCCAAACTGGAAACACCCCAAATCAAACACTAAACATCAATGAGAATAAATGAACTCCTGGTACTCACAACAACCTAGATAAATCTCACAAACTGTTGAATCAAAGAAGCCAGACACAGGGCTTCCCTGGTGGTGCAATGGTTGAGAGTCAGCCTGCCGATGCAGGGGACACCGGTTTGTGCCCTGGTCTGGGAAGATCCCACATGCCGCGGAGCGGCTGGGCCCGTGAGCCATGGCCGCTGAGCCTGCGCGTCCGGAGCCTGTGCTCCGCAATGGGAGTGGCCACAACAGTGAGACCGCGTACCGCCAAAAAAAAAAAAAAAAAAAAAGAAGCCAGACACAAAAAAATATGTATTATATCATTCCATCTATTTAAGTTAAAAAACAGGCCAGGACTTCCCTGGTGGCACAGTGGTTAAGAATCCGCCTGCCAATGCAGGGGACATGGGTTCGAGCGCTGGTCTGGGAAGATCCCACATGCCGCGGAGAAACTAAGCCCATAGGCCACAACTACTGAGCCTGCACTCTAGAGCCCGTGAGCCACAACTACTGAGCCCGCATGCCACAACTACTGAAGCCCGTGTGCCTAGAGCCCGTGCTCCGCAACGAGCCACCACAATGAGAAGCCCGCACACCACAACAGAGTAGCCCCTGCTCGCTGCAACTAGAGAAAGCCCGCGCGCAGCAACGAAGACCCGTAGCAGTCAAAAAAACAAAACAAACAAACCAACAAAAACAGGCCAAGCTAACCTGTGATGTTAGAAGTCAAGATTAAAGGTTATGGGGTGGGGGGACAGTGACTGGGAGGGGAATAAAGTATCTTCTGGAAAATTGCTAATGTTCTTGATTTGGGTGATTACACAGATGTGTTCACAAATGTGTACACAGGGAATATCCACTGAACTGTGAGTATGCTTACGAGTTGTATGCTTTTCTTTATATAAAATTATTTTTTTTAAGTAGTATATGTACATTTTTTTTTAAAGTTGTATTCTAGTTTATAAGGCAAAAATTCCCAGTTCCCAACCACCAAAGGTAACTGTTAATGGTTTGGTGTGAAAACATACTTTTCTAAGCACATACATGACTTACACATATATACAGCCATTCGAATACTTTGTAAATGAAGGTATACAAATGGGATTATACATGTTCTACAACGTGCAGTTTTTGATTTCATAATTTAATAGATCTTTCTGTCCAGTTATTCTGTCAGTAACAGGATGCTCCATACTTCCATTATAGGTGTAAGACTGAACCACACAAGAATTTATTTAACCTGTACCCTATTTAGGAGCATTCAGTGTTTCCAGTTAACAGGAAAAATTGAAGTACAACCAAAATTTTTAGTTTCTGATTTTTGTCCCATATGAAGTGTTACTGAGCATATTTGTTAACTCTAATTCTATGCCTAGAGTTGAAGAGAAGAAATGTAGATCTTGCCAAATCCTACAAAAGTGAATTTTCAATTTCACTAGGGTCCTTTTACAAAGTTCCTCCATATTAGCCATTTACCCTGCTTTATAAAACTATATTTAGATCAAACTTGGCTTCACAAAGCAAACAAAAATCAGGTCACCCATATAGAAAGAAATTACATTTTACAGGTAAAGTGGGGACTTTTCCTCCTAAGGTACCTAACGGTTTTCAAATATGAGTAAAGTTCTTTTCAGAGCAAGTAGATTTGCTGAGCAGCTGGCCCCTGTGGTGCAGTCAGGGGGATCTAATAGACATCTGTGGAAGCATGCTTAGATACCTGCGGACTGTGGGCTGGCGGAGATCACGCAAGGTGTAAACTAAACTTACAGTTTGTGAAAGCGTTTTACCCGGAATAGGCGCTGGTGAAAAGAATACACCGAGGTACGTGTGTGTATACGTTCCAGAGCGAATCCTGCTAGCAATTCCTCCACACAGGACACAACCTTATCACACCTGCTGTGGGCATGCAGACGGGACCATCCTTGCACTGTGCTCTAACACTGATTAGGGTAACAGACCCGACAAAACCCACAGGGTGATGTGGCTGCTGGTGGCCTCAGGTCAGCAATGTGCCACTGAGTGGTGAAGGCAAAGCAAAAGCCGAGGAGGTGGCAGGGTGTGGGGAGACCCTCACCTGCATGATGCTGTTGAGACGAGGCTGGAGGCTACTCAGGTACTCCTTCTTTACTTCAATCTCCTTAAGGATCTTCTCCTTGTTGGACAGGCACTCTCGGTACTTCTCCGCCAGCCTGTTGGGGGAAGACAGAGCACTGTCGCCTGATGCTCTCCAGGGACACCCCAACACACCTGTTCACTATCAGACTCTACCTAATGACAGCAGTCACGATTATCTGCTAATGTTTACCTAGCACTTACTATGTGCCAAGCACTTTGGAAAATGGTGTACAAGCATTATGGCATTTAATCCTTATAAAAACCCTGGAAGATAGGGACTTTTTTTTATCCCCGAAGGAGGAAACAAAGGCTCAGGGAGGTAGATAACTTGCCCAAGGTCATCCAGTAAGAGCAAGCACAGAGCTGGGCTCTGAACCCATGCCTGTCTGCTCCAAAGGCTGTGCCCATGACCACTGGTATCACCTACTGCTCCGTTTCTTGCCTCAGAGGCTAGACCCAGAACTTTCACAAATATATGGACTCAGCAGCTATAGGACACAAATGAGGCCCATGGACCTGAGTGGGGCAGAGTGGGGATAGATTCCAGACCAGAGCCACAGGAATGGAACACTTATGGCTTAGCCAAGGGCAAGTGATGTACTGGACAGGGGTGTGACAGGCCAGCCCCATCTGCTAAAAAACTGACACCAAGTCCCTAAGATCCAGACTCAGTACTTATTAAATTCATTATGTAGACCAAAGGCACAAAATATACTCAACAACAGAAAAAGGTAAGGAATTTAAAAACAGCAGCTTCTCTGACAGAAAACAGAACAAATGTGCCAACCAAAAGCCCTGGAACTCGTGTACAAACATGAAAGGGAAAAAGGTCACCATGATGGAAGGGATGCAACCATAAAAAGTTCAGGATGGGGCTTCCCTGGTGGCGCAGTCGTTGGGAGTCCGCCTGCTGATGTGGGGGACGTGGGTTCGTGCCCCGGTCTGGGAGGATCCCACGTGCCGTGGAGCGGCTGGGCCCGTGAGCCGTGGCCGCTGAGCCTGTGCGTCTGGAGCCTGTGCTCCGCAGCGGGAGAGGCCACAGCAGTGAGAGGCCCGCATACCGCAAAAAAAAAAAAAAAAAGTTCAGGATGAAAAAAATATACATACCATATTCTAAGGAAGATCTAGATTAAATTATACAGTATAGACATTCTACTTACGGTTAATAAATAAAAGCTCTTTATTAGTACAAAAAGTTTTATATGTAAAGGGGTGCCTCAAAGCATTATTTATAATACCAAAACAATGCAAACAACTTAAAGTCCAATTCAATATGGGAACAATTATGTGATTTACAATTTACCCTGGAATGTTGTACAACCTCCTAAAATAATGTTTGCACAGCTTTGCAATACCACACAAATATGCTTACAGGTGGGGGAAAAGGCAAAAAAAAAATCAGATTAATAATACAAAAGGTATTTAGGTCTTAGGCACTAAAATTTTAAAGAAAAGGTTACTCTTTCGCATAACGGCGTTAAGCAATTCCAACCCCACTTATGATGCAGTTCAGTTGGTCAAGTGTGAACTGCTAAGTGTGAATTAATCACAAAACGGGATTTGGTCTTAGAGACTATTCTGCTGGTTCCACAGTGCTTTGCTATCTGATCCTGGGTCAGGACAAAGCACTGTCCCTCATGGATAAAGGTCCGTGTCTGCACAGGTGAACAAGGGCAGGAAGGAGGAAACGCTACCTTTTCCGCTGCTCCAGCTCCCAGTCCAGACGTGCAAGGGTTTGCTGGTGAGGGTCTCCCATGGTGACTTCCACCTTGCTGATATCTGGAGGAGCCTCCTTATAAAACTCCTCTAAGCTGACCAGATCGATTTCTTCGTGCTTTGACCTGCAGTCAAAAACTCAATGTCAGGGCTTCCCTGGTGGCGCAGTGGTTGAGAGTCCGCCTGCCGATGCAGGGGACATGGTTTGTGCCCTGGTCCGGGAAGATCCGGCATGCCGCGGAGTGGCTACACCCGTGAGCCATGGCCGCTGAGCCTGTACGTCCGGAGCCTGTGCTCCACGACGGGAGAGGCCACAACAGTAAGAGGCCCGTGTAGCGCAGAAAAAAAACCCCAAAAAACTCAATGTCAAGCTGCTGCCCTCAGAAACCCAAACTGTGGCTTAAACAGGCCCAGAGTTCCACCCCGTGTACGTCAACTCAGCCCTGGTCTACAGCTACCCAGGAACCTAGAATCCAGTCTTCTCAGCAAATGCTCATTAGCAGGTGTTTCAATGTGAAGAGAGGTAGTTGGTGACATGCCACAGGATCCTTATCCATGTTGCCCAAGCTTTATATCCATGATTTAGCTGAAAACCTAAAAATACACTTATGAAATTTATAGACCTCTCCAAGCTGTGCAAGAGAGCTAAGAGCTTAAAGAATCAAATAAAAACACCATGGTCTAGGTCTAGACTGTCAGGTTGAAACCAAGAAATGCCATTTAACAGGAATAAACATAAGAGTCTACACTTAAGTTCAAATTATTAACTGCCTAAATATAGCATGGGGAAGATCCAACATAATATGACCAGATGTGAAAAGATCTAGAGGCTCTAACTGTTGATGTACAGTGACACACAATAACTGAGATGGGGATTTTTATCTCCATTTTTCAAATGATAGAGGCTTCCATCAGTAAGCAGCTTGCCCAAGGTCACACAGCTAGGGAGAGGGAGAGCTGGGATTTGAACCCAGACTGTCTGATTCCAGGGCCCCTGATCCTTCCACATGGCCACCTGCCTCGCTACAGGGTTTGCTGGCTTTCATCTGAACAACGGTTACAGGTGGAGCATCCTATCTTTCTTCTTTTTAAATAGTACTATTTTTGAAACTTCTTGTAAGTCTTAAACTGAGAGTTTATTTCCTCCATGAACCCTTCTCCCAGGTTCCCCCAATGATAATATCTTATCTAAGCATAATACATTGTCAAAACTAGGAAACTGACAATTGTACAATACTATTAACTCAGGTACCTGATGTGGATTTCACTTCTATTAGTATTTAAATATTATTATGTGGATGGACTCGTGAAGCAGATAAAGAAACCTCTCAAAAATCAGCATACACCAGACCCAATGCCTAACGTGGTCCCCCTCATCCCAAGTTTATTACAAATAAAACCTGACTCCTTACAGTTTACACAAATAGATCTGACAAGGCAAGAACACGTTCCCTTCTCTTATTTTGTCTATTCCGTCCTCTTTCACATCTCTCAGCTTGGATTTGCCAAGGGGCATCACAGTTTAAGGACACTGACAAACTGTAGTTTGTTCACCTAAAGGCAGCTAGGCAGCAAGAAGTTCAGGTTACAAATAATGAAATCCAGTTGCAAAAATGAATTGCTGGAACTTTAGAGAGGAAAGCTGGGCCAAAAGGTTAAAAAGATGTAATTGGAAGTGAGCTGCTCCCATACAACGTGCTCAGGAATCAAACTGGTAACGCAAAGGCTCTGCCTGCTGGGGAGAGACAACTGTTTTTCACCAGGTTCAGAGCACAAAACTCAAAAGGGTCAGACAGGCTTCTGAGGTTCTTTGTGCAGCCTGGAACTACTGCTTCCAATTCTCCCACTCAAAGTGATCTATTCAGCCTTCCCCCAGATCCTGTAGTCTCCAAGGGCATCTGACTTCTTTTTAAAAAAAATGGCTCATACTGAGCTATGTAGGAAAAAGCAGTTACCAACAGACCATCTTGCCAAAGCCCTGTGCTCCAACACTCACTTAAACTCCAGACATTTGGTGATCTCCTTCTGCAGGTGCATCACCTCATACAACAGGTTCTGGAGCTGCAGGTGATAGGCGTCCACTTTCTGCTTGGCCTGAAAGGAGGACAAGGTCAGAGGTGAGTGGGGCAAGTCGGGGTGGGGTGGGGCAAAGCAGAGCAGCAGCAAACTCAGAAAAGGGGTAAAGGAGATTAAAGATGGGATGAGAAGGAGGAAGAGGAGGGTTAAATCTCTCAGCTCCTACCTCATGAGTCTGATCTCTTCCTTTCTTCAACCTGATGTGGGCTAATCGGTTAAGCTTTTTTAGAGTCATGAAATGCACACAGCTCTGGATCTTCCGATCTTCGATCTCAATTGCCTACAGGCCAAAAAAACTGGTAAAGACCTTGACAACTGGAGCTGGCTCAGCTTCCTTCAGCCCCTCACTGCTCATCCTCATCCAGAGTCAAAAACAGACACTAGGGCTTCCCTGGTGGCGCAGTGGTTGAGAGTCCGCCTGTCGATGCAGGGGACATGGGTTCGTGCCCTGGTCTGGGAGGATCCCACATGCCACAGAGCGGCTGGGCCCGTGAGCCGTGGCCACTGAGCCTGCACGTCCGGAGCAACGGGAGGGGCCACAACAGTGAGAGGCCCGCATACCGGGGGAAAAAAAAAAAAACAGACACTGGAAGGAGCTCAGAACCATAAGAAGTGTCGGGGGAAATGGAAGAATGACTGTATAAGGGAATGCTTAAGGTTCCCAGGCATAAAAAACTAATTTCTACTTGGACCAAAGTAACAGGAATCAAAGATGGAGCAAAGGCAGCCAATGCAAACAACAGCTGTCTCTACACAATGTACACAGAGATCCTAACAACGACAACATCATGCCATACAACTTGACCTCTGTAAACAACATTACAGAATAATTTAAATGAAAATAGCAGAATTACAGCTGTAAAACTTGACTACAGTAAAATAGATAGAATGTAATAATCTTAACAATATTGGCCAGTATAAGAACAAATAAGTGAGATTCCTGGAAAAATATGGATTGTTTTATTTTGAACTTACCCATTTAGTTTTCAGTCACACTGTTTTGCTTCTCTGCTCTGAAACCTTTTTTTTCATTTAATATTAATACTTTAATTTTTGGTCTCTGATTTATTTGTACATAACTAGCCTTATAATAGCAATGGTGATTGACATGTACCATAATTTCTCCACGCCCAGCACTTAATAAATATCATTTGGATGAATTATCAAATTACAGTTATGGAAAACATTAATTATCCTGTACTTTCATGACTGTAATTGATGACTGGGTGGTGATGTTACAATAAATTAATAGGCAGGTCTCTGGAGCCCTCAGGCTCTAACCCCATGATAATGGCAGGACATAAGACCAATATAAAGAAGGGCTCTGATAGGTGCGAAACAGGTCCATCCATGCAGACCCACCAGGTCCGTGTCCTCCCAGCCCCACTCCTTACCACATCCTTGCCTCCCCTGCTCTTCAGGTCCTGGATCTCCGCCATGAGCCTCTGCAACTCCTGGCACGTGTACTTGTACAGCTCATAGTCTCTGCCAGGGTCCCGCAGGTCCACCTCAGCCTCCTCGCTGTAGTATTTACCTTCCTGTGGAGGCAAGGATATATGCCTTGGGTGGAGAGTAAAAGTCTCTCTGTTGGAACAGGGACACTTGGCTGAGATGAGTAACAATGAAGCCCCAAATCAGGTCTCTAAAGGATCTGATCTGCAAATCAAATGTTTTTCTTTTTTTCAAAATGGAAAAGAATTCCTCTTTTCCTCTTTCTGATTATAAAGTAATGCATGCTTGGTGTCAGAGATTCAGAACATAGAGAGGAGTATCAAAAACAAAACGAAAACTTGCCTATAATCTCACCTCCCAGCCTGAAGTAACTCCATTGTTAGTATTGTGGATAAATACATTAAAAAAATAAATAAGGGCTTCCCTGGTGGCGCAGTGGTTAAGAGTCAGCCTGCCGATGCAGGGGACACGGGTTCGTGCCCCGGTCTGGGAGGATCCCACGTGCCGCGGAGCGGCTGGGCCCGTGAGCCATTGCCGCTGAGCCTGCGCATCCAGAGCCTGTGCTCCGCAACGGGAGAGGCCACAACAGTGAGAGGCCCACATACCGCAAAAAAATAAATAAAATAAAAAATATAAATAAATAAATAAATAAAATAAAATGGGATATTGTTCGTGCTATTTAGTGCAATTTCCCATCACAATAAATATAAATCTCCATCAAAATGGCTACATATAGATGAACCAGAATTCATTTAACCAAATTTCTACTGATGGGTGTTTAGACGGTCAAATCAAGCTTTAGCAGAAACTAAAATATCCTAATTGGTCTCCCAGACTTTGGCATAAACAAACACATCTCTTTAAGAGAGAGTCAGTTACAATTAAAAATATTGCATTGCATATTTGAAAGTTGCTAAAAGAATGGATCTTAAAAGTTCTCATCACAAGAAAAAAATTTTTGTAACAACTATGTAACACGTTGGATGTTAACTAGACTTATTTCGGTGATCTTTTCACAAAATAAACAAATATCAACCATTATGTTGTACACCTGAAATTAATATAATGTTATATACCAATTATACCTCAATTTAATCTTTTTAAAAAAGAGTCAGAATCAATACCTCCCAAAGGATAAGGTTCTTCGTTAATTTTAATTTCCTAAATCTGAGGAAAGCATCATCTTCCATTTAAGTTGAAGCTGGTATGTTTCTCTATTCTAGTTAAAAAACAAACAAAAACCACAACCAACCAAAAAATCAAGTTAAGTCATACAATCTATGGACTGGGAGAAAATATTTGCAAGCGATGCGACCAACAAGGGCTTAATTTCCAAAATACACAAACAGCTCATACAACTCAATAACAAGAAACCAAACAACCCAATCAAAAAGTGGGCAGAAGAGTAAACAGACATTTCTCCAACGAAGACATACAGATGGCCAAGAAGCACATGAAAAGATGCTCCACATCGCTAATTATTAGAGAAATGCAAATCAAAACTACAGTGAGGTACCACCTCATGCCAGTCAGAATGGCCATCATTAACGTCTACAAATAAATGCTGGAGAGGGAGTAAAGAAAAGGGAACCTTCCTACACTGTTGGTGGGAACGTAAACTGGTGCACACTATGTAAAACAGTATGGAGGTTCCTCAAAAAACTAAAAATAGAGTTGCCATATGATCCAGCAATCCCATTCCTGGGCACATCCAGACAAAACTCTAATTAGAAATGATACATGCACCTCAACATTCATAGCAGCACTGTTCACAATAGCCAAGACATAGAAGCAACCTAACTGTCCATCGACAGATGAATGGATAAAGAAGATGTGGTGTATATACAGACAATGGAATACTACTCAGCCATAAGAAAGAATGAAATAATAGCATTTGCAGCAACATGGATGGACCTAGAGATTAGGTACAAAGTGAAGTCAGTCATAAAGAGAAAGACAAATATCATATGATACCACTTACATGTGGAATCTAAAATATGACACAAATGAACTTACTTACAAAACAGGTTCACAGACACAGAGAACAGATTTGTGGTTGCCAAGGGGAAGGATGGATTGGGAGTTTGGGATTAGCAGATGCAAACTATTATACATAGAATGGATAAACAACAAGGTTCTACTGCATTGCACAAGGAACTATATTCAAGATTCTGTAATAAACCATAATGGAGAAGAAAAAAATTGTTAAGTCATAAATTAGCTTGACAGATTCAAGGACAGAGAAACAGCAAAAGAAGAACCTGCTGACTACAACAGCACTCAGGCCTCAGAAGACGTTCTTTAGCTACATGGTTCTGGTACTGTCTCGGTAGCAGACCAGGGATGTCACATCTCCAAAGCCTTAGTGGCCGCTGCGGATGGACTGCCTTCTTCTGACCATCAGGAAAGCTGGAGACACACACCATACTAGAATGCATTCTCTGTTCAGGCACTAATCGTGTCTAGTACAGGCTTGTTGGTTCTTGGGATGCTGCAGCTAAATCTGACATGGATTCTCAGGTCTTGAAGAGCCAAGGGAATTCCAGGCACCTGGTCAAACAGAGGCCACCTGGGAGGTTACGCCTATGATCCTCGGCTGCTGCAAACCCACAGCCAGGTGCTTGGCCACGAGCTGCAATTTCTCAGCAGCACAGCAGCCCTGGCTGATCTCACCTGTTCAATGTCAGAACGATTACGCTTCCCTTCAGCTGGAGCTCCATCACTTCGGATCACTTTGGGCTTTCGTTTTTTGCTCGATTCCGATGACATGGTTGTTTGGTGAAGTCAGGAGGAAACAGCAGAGACCTGTTAAGAGGAGAAAGCTTCTGAGCTTTTCCAGAGTTGGAACTGGAGATTTTCCTGGAGTCAGAATACTGAAGTCTAACTAGCAGTTGTGCCCGCTTACACTCTTGGTAACTCAAGAAAAGTCATCAACCCTCCAAAGCCTCAATTTAATCCTCTGTAAAAAGCAGAATCATCCCTCAGACTGTTCAAAATGAACTCATCTTCCCCAACTCCACCTCCTTTAAAGGCACCACCACAACCCCACTGACCAAACTCCTCAGCCAGGCACATAAGCCCATTCTCAACACAACTGATTGATCATTGTGTGCTGGACCTTGATCTAAGCACTTCAAAGGTATGTTCTCATTTGGTTCTTATAACAAGGATCCTCTCAGATATGAACAAGCACCATTTTACAGGTGAGAACACTGAGGGTCAGGAAGGTGAATGACTTGCCCAAGGTCACACAGCTAGTGTGCTAAAGCTAGGGTCCAACCCATGCCACAGCAGTGCTCCTGACAACTACGTTACTGTATCTTGTAGTGCTGCCACCATGTCATCTGGCGATGCCATCAACTCCCTGGTTGACGCGAAAATTTAAAAGAACAGAATAGGGACTTCCCTGGTGGCGCAGTGGTTAAGAATCCGCCTGCCGGTGCAGGGGACACGGGTTTGAGCCCTGGTCCGGGAAGATCCCACATGCCGCGCAGCAACTAAGCCCATGCACCACAGCTACTGAGCCTGAGCTCTAGAGCCCGCGAGCCACAACTACTGAGCCCACGTGCCACAACTACTGAAGCCTACACGCCTAGAGCCTACTCCACAACAAGAGAAGCCACGAAGAGTAGCCCCTGCTCACCACAACTAGAGAAAGCCCGCGCACAGCAACGAAGACCCAACGCAGCCAAGAAAATAATAAAAATAAAATAAAATAGAAAATAAAAAATTTAAAAGAACAGAACATACATTCATGGGCCTCTAGCGTCACAAAGTATCCTCTCTCTGCTACCTCTACTGACTGTCACCAGCAGCCTCTGAGGTGGGCAGCACTAACCCCCCTACCCCAGTGAATCTGTCACCAACACTTATTGAGGGAGCCAATGCCTCAGAGGTGTGTCAGAGAAACCCTGGGCTGGAGTCTCCAGTCCTCTATTTCATGGCTGAGTCCTGCAACAAGTCACTTCACTTTTCTCTGCATCTACTTCCTCCCATATCAAATGAAAATAGCCATCCCTACCTCAGAGGTGGCTGTGGACATTAACGCAGGAGGCGCTCCACTGGGGCAGGTGATGAAGATGATCTGAGAGCAGGGCTTTAGATGGTACACAAGTGGTTAATAATGTTAAACACCTACGGAGAAAGTTAATCCCTTTCAATTCTTTTTAGAAACTTCTGATTGCTTCAAGAAGAACGTGTCATTTCCCTAGTTAGTCTTTAACACCTATGAATGACAACGTCCTTTTGTTAACAAAAGGATTCTATCTCAGACCCTTAGACAATGAAATCTAGCCACAATTATTAACGATAACCTTTACATATTAAATACATTAATTTTTATCACTACCTTCTGCATAGGACAAGTGAGAAAAGTTTTCCATTTATGGTAAAGATTTAAATTTTTCTTTTAAAGTAAATTTAAATTTTAAAAGTGACTCAATTAAAAGCCTTTAGTAAACAATCGTACAAGATAAGTTGATTTTTCACAGAGGGACCCGAAAAGCGTTAAGTGTGCGAAATCCTGACTTTGGCAAGACAGTAGACAGTGCCTGGCACACACAAGCGCATAATAAATGTGAGCTGATATCACCACCACCGTGGTGGTCGTTATCTAGAAGCTGCCCCATAAGGCCTGACGATGCTGCAGCCACCATTTTCCACAGGAGGAAACTGAGAGTGCGGCGCCGAGCAGCCGGGGTCCCCGGAGAATAAGGACGGAGAACCGGGTCAGACCCCAGCCCGGGGACGCCCTCGGGAGGTCCGCACACCAGTCCCAGCGCGCCCAGCCCCACCCCGGTCCTCTCCTCACCACACTGCACCCCGACCTGTCGCGGCCAGCGAGCCACTTCCCACAGCTCCCGCACCACAGAGAAGCGGAAGGAAGGAGTGGCCGACCGGAAGTGAGGCGTGGAGGCCGGAAGCGGAGCGCGAAGGGTCCCGACGCAGCCACCAAGCGGTGCGGGCGGCTGCTGGGCTGCAAGGGGTCTAGGAGCTGGTGGCACCTGCGTTGTCTGGGCGGGTCCCAGCCGGCCAACAGCCTCACGCTGCCCTCTGAAACCAGGAAACCGAAGTTGCAAGGGCAAAGACTATGTGCCTCGTTCATTCTTTCCCCAGCGCCTAAAGCTATGCCCAGCAACTAGTAGGTGCTCGGCCAAGTATTTGTTGAATGAATTTGTCGAGAGCCCAAGATAACCCAAGAATGTAGTAGTGCCATGATTTGGACACTTGTGAATTTGCTTCCATAACCTGGATTCTTAACCACTGTCATACTCACCCGAACATCCCACACTAGCAAGAGCAGCAAGTCAAGGTGGGCATTAATCCCATCTAACCCCGCCTCTTTCCCCCCACAAGTTCATCCCCATTTTAGGCCCGATTTGCCCTAGGACAGAGTCACAAATCTAACGCAGCATTTGACAGCTTCAAGTATTTTCTACCCCTGGTATGAATTGTACTGATGAGGTTCAGTAAATCCTACTCATCTGAAGATAGAAACACTGATGTCCTGAATCCCTGGTTATGCAGTGTATTTCCTTCTGCCGTAGAAGGAGGCCCTCCCCAAAAGTAGCTCAGGGAATGCAATAACCTCCAGTGGGGTAGATCAGCCAGGTGGACCTGCGAAGCTGGCCCTGCCTGGGGCACTTGCCAAATTTCCTTGCAGATGAAGAAAAGACACCATGGTTATAGTAAATATTTAACTGGTTCCATCAGTGACTCCACCACAAGTTTTCCTGAAACGGAGGCAGAATCAAGATACTCAGAAGTTCATGAGGTGTGGGGGTCACTGAGGAGGTCCCCAAAGTCACTGACCCCACTAAACACACCTGATGGCCCAGTGGAATGAGGGTTGGGCTGAGAGAATGTGAAGAGGGAGAAAAGGAATACGGGGTGAGGGAAATACGGGACCTAGTCCGTAGTTCTGCTTGCAGGAAGGCAATAGGGAGGGCAGAAGACACTCCCTGCACAGAAGGGCTGGAACAACTTGTTCAAGTTCTCAACCTCATTATGTGGGAAGAAAGAGATGCACCTCTCTCCAACTGTCTTGTATTAGGAACCCCTCCCCAAGTGGTCTTCTGTCATCTCTGTTCTATCTTCCCAATTCTGTATTCCAAATTCTTCAGTTCAAACCCAAGTTCTGAGTTCTAAGTTCTACCTTCTGGGTTCCTGTTCCATTCTGCTTCCCTCCCCCAGGTCCTTCCCAGCTCCCATCCCTTTTCTCAGCCTTTCTGGGTGGAATATGTGGATGTCCTGCTGACTTAGCTAACTTGAGGGTTTTCCCTTTTGCTTCTTGAGGAAGTTCTAGGCTTTTCTCCAGCAGAAGGGACTTGGCTCAGACTGTCCACCAAGTGGGTGGGCCAGTAGAGACCAGGGAATTCCTGAGAGCCTGGCCTGGTCTGACCTCCTCCCTTCCCACCCCACCTCTAACCAATGGACACACTACCTTTTGTACAACTTAAGCAAAGCTGAGGATTTCCACGGTGATGATTATGGACTGGTGGCCTTGAGATGAGGACTCTTAGGGGAAAATGTGAAAAGACACAAAAGGTTGCTGTTCTTCATTCACAGAAATTAACAACTGCTTCCAGCAAGGGGAACGGGTGTGCGGGGAAGGTGGGAAGGGTCTGGACAGGGCTGCGAGTCCTCAGAACCCCATCATCCTTCAGCTCCCCCTTCTCTGAGCTGAGCACTACTCCCAGAGTCCACAGAGTCTGAGAGAAAACCAAGACATCAGGGCTGGGATCTCCTCTGTCCATGGCTACCCTGAGGGAGAGGTGGGAGGAGGTGGAGGCAGCGGCAGCATCACTGGAGAGGTGAGATCTTCAAAGGGATCATGATCCGAGACTCCATGTGTCGAACCAGGGGGACTGCAGAGAGAGAGGCAGAGGTCACGAGGGGGCTGAGGTGAGCCAACCGCCCAAAACTAGCCCCTGAAGGAGGAGGAGGCCTGGGATGCTGAGACAGGGAAACCCCACTGCTCTCCTGGAACGGCCCATGGAGAGCACCACATCTCCCAAACTGTGGGATATGAGGGGACTTAGGCTGTGATGAAAGGCAGCTTTTAAACTTTTTCATAATTGGGACTTCCCTGGTGGTGCAGTAGTTAAGAATCCGCCTGCCAATGCAGGCGACACGGGTTCGAGCCCTGGTCCGGGAAGATCCCACATGCCGTGGAGCAACTAAGCCCGTGCGCCACAACTACTGAGCCTGCGTGCTGCAACTACTGAAGCCCACATGCCTAGAGCCTGTCCTCCACAACAAGAGAAGCCACCACAATAAGAAGCCCGCGCACCACAACAAAGAGTAGCCCGCGCTCGCCGCAACTAGAGAAAGCCTGCACGCAGCAACGAAGACCCAACACAGCCATAAATAAATAAATAAATAAATTTATTTATTTATTAAATTTTTTTTCATAATTATGTATTGACTTCCTATGTATGTGAAAAAACAACCAGCATAGCTTAAAAGTGATTTCACAGATATTATTGCTTAGGACAAAGCTAGGTGAAGAACAAAGCAGGGGGATTTAAAGGAAGAGATCAAGAAAATAATTGTAGCAGAAGAAAATTGGCAGGACAAAAGCTGTGAGGGTGTCCTCAAGGGGCTAAAGTTTGAAAAACACTGATTTAGTTCAACTGACTCATTTTACAGGTGGGGACACTGCAGCTCAGAGTGGGTCACCCCAAGGTCACCCAGAAGGTCAGACTCTTTCCTCCTGCTCAGTGCAGTTAAACTTTACCATGCTTACAAATTACCTACAGTTCTCGTTCAAGTGCAGATCTTGATTCAGTGCGGGGAGGTAGGGGGTTGAGATTGGGCATTTCTAACAAGCTTCCAGGGGATGCTGACACTGTCATTTGGGACCACACTTGGAAGAGCGAGACTCCCGCTAACTCCTTCAGGAGATGCATTCTCCCACACACCAGCTGTTAAGTGTGGAAGCTCAGCTGTAAGTTCCTTAAGGGCAGGGCATTCTCTGCCTCCCAACTCCCGCCCACCACAGTCCCTGGTACACAGTGAGTGCTCACCCAGCACCTACTGACTCCAGGTGGTTCCCAGGGGTCCCTGCAAAGTGGCAAATGCTGTAGGCAAAAAACTTGCTCGAAAAAATTGACTGTGCGCCTCCTCTGCGCCAGAGTCTAGGCCAAGCACTTTTCATAAATTAGCTTCTCCAGCCCTCTGAGGGAGGCTTTCTCACCATTGCCACCTTACAGATTGAAAACAGCATCAGTGAGGTGAAGAACCAGGCCCAAGGTCACACTGTGTGCTCAACTACAACACTTCTCTGAGGCAGGGACCACCTGGCTGTGTTATTGTCCCTTAGGGCACTCACCCAGGACAGCCTGCATCCCGGGGAGCATGCCACCAGAACAGGAACCTACTAACTCATTGTCCTGAAAGTGAGTTCTCCATCACGAGAGGTAATCAAACGAGGTCAGATCTACTTGCAGAGGGGATTCCATCCTCAGATAGGGCTCTTGGCAGATGACCTCAGAGGAGGTGCTCACCTGTGTAGTAGACATTTTCGTCCCAGCCCCTCTTCCTCCAGGCAGCATTTCTGGTCTCCTCCCGAGACTGCAGGTCTTTATAGGCTGTGGGGGGAAGGCATAGGCTCATTCCTGAGGCACAGAGGATCTGAGCCTGTACCCAGCACAAGGCCCTCCTTCCGGTGCCCCAAACCCTGCCCTGCTGTCTCTTCCTCCCCGGATGCCTCCAACTGTTAGCAAACACTGTCTGCTTTGACAATCTCATCCAATCAGTACATTTCTTGTGTATTTCCAGCCCAGAACTCTCCCTTGAGCTCTAGACTCGATTATCCAGTGTTCACTTGACATTTCCACTCAGATGTGTCAGTGTCTCAAAGGTAACACTTCTAAGGACCAAAAGTACACTCCTGACTCTCCAACCTGCTCCTCCAAGGGTCTCAGTAAGCAATACAGAGCTGCTCAAACAGGAGTCTTGGTGTCCTGGGGTCCTCTCTCCCTCCCCCACCCCAGACAGACAATTCATCCACCAGTCCGATTGGTTCCACCTCCAGACCAAAGAATCTGTGGACTTCTCAGCATCCTCATTGTCACCACCTTAGGCCAGGCCACCATCCTCTCCCCCCGAGCTACTATAACCATCTCCTGATGCCCCACATCCTCTCTCGCTCCCCTACAAAGTGCTCCCAACAAAGCACATGGCAGCCAGAGGAACCATTAGAACACAAATCAGGTCATTTCATGCTGCTTGAAACGCTGCAGCAGTCGCCCGCTGAAGTTAGAATAAATCCCAGGAATTCCCTGATGGTCCAGTGGTTAGGACTCTACACTTCCAGTGCAGGGGGATCAGGTTCGATCTCTGGTTGGGGAACTAAGATCCCTCAAGCCTCGCGGTGCAGCCAAAAAAAAAAAAAAAGGAGAAAAAGAAAAAGAATAAATCCCAACTCATCTCATCCCCATGGCCTGCAAGACCTAGTCTAACCTGGTCGATCCACATCTTCCCACTCTCTTCCCCACTCCCTCCACACAGGCCTCCTTTGCACTCCTCAAAACCCTGAAGGCCTTTCCCCGCCGCAGGGCCTTTGCACGTGTTGTTCCCTCTACTTGGAATACCCTTCCCTGGCAATTCACAGCTGACTCCTCATCCTTTAGCTGAGCTTACATTTCACCTCCTTAGAGAGGCGTTCTAGTCTATCAAGCCAATGAAACTTCCCATATTTTTCTTCATTATTTCTCCCTCTCTCTTTATGATTTGTAATAATCTGAAATTATCTTTTTTGTTACTTTATGTCTGAGGTGGTATCTCCCTCTGCTGGAATGTAAGCTCCACAAGGGCCCTAATGTATTCGCATTGTTGACATGGACTGAGAGTAGAGAAAGGGGGCCACAGAGGGTCCTGGAGGGTCCCCAGCCTACCCCAGAGATGGTGCACAACGTATAGCTCTCCTATCTGCGAGAAGAAGCCGCCCACTGCCTCCTGGTTCTCCTGCCGGTACTTGATGGCCCGAGCCCTGGGGATGGCAGAAAAGTGTGGGGCAGAGGCCAGGGCCGGTGCAAAGGGCCCTCCGGGGTGTTCCCAGGCTGGTTTCTCAGTTACACATCAAGGGAGGAATCTGAGGTAGGGCCCTTGGCTCTCAGAAATGATCAGGGACCAGGGTGATGGAGGTGCAGCCGCTGGCTGGGTGTTCTACCACAGTGGTCTAGAGAATCCTCACCCCCCTGGTTGGATCATCACCATCTCCTGGAGATGGCATGGAGGATGACGGGTTCCCTGCTACAGGGCCCTGGGAAAGGTGGTCCACCAGGGGCCTTG